AGCGGCCGGTACCAATTAAAGGCCGCTGGGGACGGACGGTTTCCTTGCCGTGGCGCTCTTAAACGCCGCGTGAGTGATTCCAATTTCGATGAGAGGGAAACGCGGCGAGCCGAGGGGCGTCGGATAATCGATCGGGTTATAGGATAAATCCTCTGGGAACGGTCAGAAATACACGAAAATGTGATCGACCGGCTCATTTCGGAGGAGGGGAAAGAGAAACTTTAATCATTATTTTATCAGCGCCAGTGATACACGTGCTTTTCCAACCGACACGACCGCGAGTCAGATACTGGGAAAATTCAATTCTGAATGTATTCTCTCGCGCACGGCAAAATCCGCCGTCTTTTCCTTATCGGACTTATATAATCGACTTTGCGGAACAATTCTATAATCTCCTAAACTTAATTAAGGGCGAATGAACCCTGGTTCGCACGGGGGAAGGAAGGCAGGACTTGAGTTAACTTCGCTATAAACAAGAACAATATCTTCATCCTTGCGGCACTGGGGAAACTTCGTTACGCTTTCAGGGATGGGCACGCGCCGCGCCGACAAGGCGAGGCAGTTATCTGAAGACAGTCGTAAGAAGCGGAAATAAGGTCGCCCCGGAGGCTCGCCGGCGGCCGGCCAATGTAATCGCTTGTAAAAATGTAATAAAGGATCAAAGAGCGCCGGCGAGAGAAGAATATTGCGCCCTGCCGGACTGACGGACTGGCCGTAGATATATAAAGCGATCGCTTCTCGAGCGACATATCTTTACCCACTTTCGTCCTCATCTCTTCTTCGCGCAAGTATTAAACATATGACAATTACATAAATCAACGCAATTTATATATACATGTACATATAGGCCGTCCGCGCTGCAATCCTTACATTCCGTCGTCTTTTTACATTCCGAATATTATTACTTCTTATTAAAAAAATGTTTGTATAAATAAGTGTTATTTATATATAGATAGATATAAATATATATAAATGGATATAAATGATATAAATCGATATAAATAAAACCTATCTATACAAATAATAACATTTTTTTTAATGAAAAATGAGGTAATATTTGAGATACATTATTTGACTATTAATTCGAACTTTTATGCACATTATGCAATCGCAGTCAGAATGCATTCCTGATGCCGTATAATTTTCTCTCGGACGGTTGTCCGACTGGATGCAGGCAATCTCGCGGATTCTCGTTCCGGCAGATATGCACACGGAAAGAATTCAGACGGTACGCTTGACGGAAGGAAGACGCATACGACAAAGTCTTCGAAGTTCTCAAAGCACGGAACCATCCGCGCTCTTTTACCCGAGAGCATTTTCCTGACTCGGATGGGACGGCAGGGTAGGGGGGGGACGCGTGGTATGTCTGTATGTCCTGCATCCTGTCGGAAAGCAAGACCGAACGCACCCTCGAGCGCGAGCCTGTGCTCGAAGGGGCACTCGTCCGCGACCGGAGTATTTCATATTTACCTATCAAAGGTAGACGCTTTGTGCAGTTTATATTAAATCATAGTACAGTTACGGGATGTCAATAAGACGGGTCCTTCACCCTTCGCGGCATTCTGGCCGATGCTGGCGTGTACAGGACGTCGCGGAACTGTCGAGCCAAGTTCTTTACAAGCAGCCAATAATTTCTGGCGAAAATAAGGAGGGTCTCTTTTCAAAATGTAATCCTGAAAGTTTCGCAAGGGTAGACAATACAAATTTTTATTTCCATTTAATTAAATACAAATGAACTTTGTTTTAATATTTGAGAACTTATAGAAAATGAAAAAATTGTAGCTACCCAATATTATAATGATTGAAAATTTGCGACAAATAATGACTTCCCTCGGCATTTTTGCTAAATACAAATCGAATACAAATTCTAAACTGTCCGAAAAAAATCTATAGAGCGAAGATGGTTTGTTGGATTTGAGTCGCCCTGCATCTCTGTTCTTGCACTCGATAAGCACACATTGATATTAAAATGTAGAAAGACTCAACGCGTGCCTCTGGTTACATGATGTTGTATATTTTCGTTGTGAATTTAAAAGAAAATAAATCACGCGTACGTAAGGCACGATAAATACGAGCGGGGAATAAATAAATCAACATGTGTTCATATTATATATGTTTACATTCGCACGTGCGATGCTATTGCAACGGTTAAGCGATAAAAGTGAGATTATAAATCCAGATTACGTTGAGAGCGTTCTCTCGTCCGTCGAGCCCGCGCCCACTCGCACATGCCCGCGTGCATCTTTTATCCTAATAACCGCTTATATGTAGGATATACCGATAACAATAAGCGTATCCAGAGCGCTGGTAGTTATCATTTCCGGCTCCTATTTACCTCCTCGCGCGCGCGTACGCTCGATGAATTTCACGTCCTACAATCCGGGAGAAAACTCGAACTGCCAATAAACCCTTCTTCTGTGTATGTGTTTGGGTTATCATATTTTTACAGATCACGCGTCGAAATTTCACAAGTACGTTGAAAACTCGTCCGAGGTAAATTGTAATAATGTCGTGTGACAATTAAAACAAAAAAAAAACTTCTCTTCCGTTAACAAGGAAACAAGGAATCGTCGGTAATTCAATCGCCGATGATTTACACCGGCGATACGTTTAATACTCTGTTTATCAGCCGTTATTCGGTTCCTCGGTTTATCGGAAAAGTGTATCCTCTTCACTGTTTCCATGCCACCCCCTCCCTCCTTTGTCTCGCTCGCTTACGCCCTCGATCGAGTCTCCTCCTATCCAGCTTTCTCTCTTTCTCTCTCTCTCTCTTTCGCTCTCTTATATACATTCGCATACAATCGACTAGAAAATATAACGGAAATCAACCCGGGCGAAGTCGCTCGGAATTAATGAATGAAATCAAACTCGTCCCGTTTGTTGATTCGTCATTGACGGACGGGCGGCAAATCGCGAGAGGAACGATCAGCAGGGATGCAAGGAGAGTACGGGGGAAGTGAGTGGGGTTCGTTGCGAATCGATATGATGCATACACACCCAGGATCCCGACTGCGTTATTACCGTCGAGTGCCATTAAGACTTCCAATTAGTCCGACGTTCTCCGGGGCGCGCGCGCGTATGTACGTGCGTACGTTCATACGTGCATGTTTCTCGTCCGAAAAAAAAACTACGGGCTAAAACTCTGATGTGGACGGTTTTGTCCGGAGACACCCACGCAAATATAACGAAAAAAAAAACCGATGCGACGCGCGGTCGATAATATGACCGCTGTAACGTTACGCGCCTCGCGCGATTACAACCACTAGTACGCGCAATCCGCAAACAAGCGGCACTCTCGGCCCGCCGATATCAATCACCACTTTTGACTCAATAACACTTACGTAGACTCCGGATATGCTATTTCATCCGTATAACGCGCATCCCGCCGCGTTTCTATAGTTCTACGTCAATCGGGACATGGACGTTATACCCTTCAGCGACGTGTATCGTCAAATTTACCGCGGGTCACGAGCCTCTCTCGATTCTTTTAATTGTCCTCGTGATAACCGCCGGCCTCCCCCGCGATCCGCGTATACAGGATATATCGCTTCGTCGCTTCGTTCGGGTTCGTTCAGTCAACGAACGATTTTTCCTGCGATGCGATTAGATAAGACTCGACGTTGATCGCGTTATACGAAGAAACGCATCGATTATATGTGCCCTCCGCTCTCCCGCAGGAATCTATCCGTAGCTTATCTCATTTATTACGCCCCCTCCTGCTTCGTCGTCGTTCGACGGTTACTTTACAACCCCCCAGATAGGGGCGAGTAACGTCTTTGTTTTCACCGCAACATTCTGCGACCGCCGGCGGAACCCTCCCGCGTCGCGCGCCGTCTCGGCTCGCGAAAGCCAAACGAGGCGGGAGCGGGATAGGAATGACGTGAGATAAGAAACATCGAGACCTTGTCGATTGTCTTCTGTTTCCCTCCCGTGTATCGCGGACCGAAATCTTTTAATAAGCGAGTTGAGTAACGCTAATTTGATATTTAACAAGTTCCTTATCGTGATCATAAAATGGTATCATATAATTATACATTTTACAGAATAAGTGGAATAACAGATTTATTTGTCAAATATTGACCTCGCATATTTTACGATGACGGTTATTATTTTGTACTATTTAGAATAATAGGAGGAAGGGGTAACACAATTAAAGAATTAATTCTTCGTTCGTTTGTGCAATATAATTAATAATATGTTAATATTAAGATAATTAATTTTGAAAATTTCTCTTAGTATTCCAATTTATTTCTCAACGAATACATTTATTTGATAATATTAATTTTTGCTCTTTCAATCGATAGTGTTTTTTTTTTGGCTTAATTGAACCGTGTTTAGAAAGTTAATATAAGTTTAGTTATTTTTTAATACATTCTATTTTTACTTAGGAATAACCAAAGAATTTAAAAGAAAAATTTTATGATAATAAATATATTAAAATTATTAATAAATCTACAAATTAAGCAGAAATAGAGAAAATAGAAAGCAGACTTGTGAGAAGAGAGGAAGAGGAGTTGAGATCGTCCGAGAAAGGAGATTGGCTTGGAAGAGAGAATACCTAGTTGTTAGCGAGCGCGCGAGGCAGTCGGGGGGCTACCAGATAAGGCGTGGGCATAAACGTCCGCAGATAAGGGTAGTTTGCACCCCCGTTGTGGACAGTTAGCCTTAAATGAGTTGGGGGGTGAGACGTGTAAAGGCCTTTGTTGCGACGGCCTCATCTTCCTCGGCTTTCGAAATCAGTTTTGTCGCCGGTGATGCTATTTTATCGAACATCGAAAGTTGGGTGATAAGAATCGAGTTGTCCGACAAACTATATTCATACGAAAATCGAAAATATTTTCATTATTTAATTAATGTTTTGGTGTTGCTTACAGTACTGACGAAAAATTCTTAATTTGTGTGTGTAGATTCTAATTCCGTTTTAATTCCGTACTAATTACATACATTAAGTCGATTATATCGATTAACGTCAGAAGTCTGAATTCTTGTTGTGTTTACAGGTATACGCAGTGTCAAGACATCTCTCTCAGGAGCGACCATCTGTGTTTCACAACGTTCTACCGTGAGTACCGATTTACTTCCGTAAATTCTAATTCCATTTTTCTTTTTCTTATGTGATAATGTTACTCGGTCTTTCGAACGTCTAATAATAATATCCAGACAAACGAACGTCTCGCGTAAGTCTTGCTCGATCAAACTATAAGGGATGCGAATTTGCTTGGATAAGAGGCGAACAGAGAAACGCCGCGCGCACAAATCTGGCCGATCCAGAGATCCGGCGATCCTTCACAAATGCCGGCGCACATACAAAAAAAATCCTGTCTCGCTCCGTTCTAAATTCCGCTTATCTAACGGCGCTTCGACAGTAATGTGCCAACGTATTATGTAGAACCGGAGCGCTGTCGGGGCCATCCCTTTTGCCGTGGAAGGCCACCGGAGCGGCGGTGCCGTTTAGCGTCAGATAGCGGAAACGTATGAGGGACGGGGTGAATCCACCCTTATCTTAAGGGTAGCTACTCAATAGCTAGCCGCGCCGAAATTCCACTCGCATTTCTCGCACCCACGCTATCTATGCTCGCCACACGCATCTCCGTTTTCACGACTATTTCTCGCGCGTTTAAATTATTTTGCTGTTTTCTCTCTCGTGACGAGAACAATCATTTACGCGAAAAATTGATATTACAAATTGATAATGTGTAAAATAATTTAAAGTGCATTATTAAAGTGTCTATCGTATAGACTCTAAAATACACATACAAAATAGATATATATTATTATTATTATAAAATTAGTGATAAATGTAATAGACATATCATCGTGTTAATAGAAAAGTGACACAAGTAAAAAATTAGCATTTATCTCCTGAAGTCTTTGGAATCGATTTCCTTTCGTTATTTTAAAAATACTTTTTTAATTGACAGAAAAATAACACAAGTAAAAAAATAATTTTATTTACTTGTGTTATTTTTCTGTCAATGCGGCGATACGTATTTGTTTAAAATTGTTCTTTTTCACATTCACTATGTCAAAGGTTAATCGCGTCTTGTTCTCGCTTAAAGAATTCCATGAATATTCGTCGGAATTAATATCAAAAACAAACGAAGTAGCTCGCAACTAACAGGGCGCACGCGCATAATTTAATGCACGACGGCGGAGGAGCCACGAGGTGAGCTCTATGGGACGCTTAGGGTTACTTATACTTCGGTAGGGGTATGTGGGTAATGTGCAGGAGTGCCTCCGGGTAGGTGCTTGCGGTAAATCTAATAACGTTGTAATGCCGTTATACCCCCCTCAAAGTTGGCCCGTAAGTTTCTGCGCGGAGCCTGTTGGCTCCGACTGCCGTGCCGAGAATTCCTAACGCGTGTACCATTTTAGCTGCCAACGCGCGTATGTGTTGTAGTTAAGATCTACAGACTCGAGGAAAAAAAACAGAAGGCAGGAAGCATGTAACGAAAGAATAGGTTGAGTTAATACATTTTGACAGACCTCTCTGATATTTATTGCGAGAAAGCTCCTTGATCTCCAAGCACGGAGATTCTCGCGACAATACGATCTCGAGCTTTTGTATTAATAGACCGTACTTCGACTCGAATTAACTTGTCAAAGATGTCAAAGTCATGTCAGTCGACTCATTAGACTATCATTGAATCGATACGATTCGCCGATCGAAGCCTTACCGGAGGTAGGCAACAGGTAGCCGCTAATGCCGATTCAGCGAGCTTTCGGCAAAAATTCGCACGAGTTTTGTAGATATAGCGATGACGAAACGCTACTGACGCTCCTCTTTCCGACCCAAAATCCGTTCGACTCACCTCTCGCTTCCCCCCGCTTTCCCGCGCCGCCACCCGCTCTGTCAGACGCCCTCTCTCAGTGTAGATATATGTCACGAACGAAGGTAAGCGCTCGCAGTCACCCGAGGGTGTTCTGCAAACTATGCTCGCGAAAAGTTCAACACAACTTCATAGCATCGGTGTTTCGTGGGCGAATTACGAGGGGGTGAGAAGGGACTCTCGAAGAGAGCGCTCGGCGAGGAGAGGAGCACGACGTGGCGGGACGAGGGAGCGGCTTGGTGGTAAATTTGTTCTAGCGTGAGCTTACATGGGTTACGTTAAGTACATAGGCGTCTGGGGCTGGTTAGCTGTATCTACTGACGCGGGGAGGGAAATATCTCCACCTCGCGCGCACGAAACTTGGAGCGGCCTGTAGCGCGGCCTGACGTAAGAACTCTCGCGTATAAATTCCCGTTCGCTACGAGACGTCGCCGAGTTATGTAAACGAAGACGTACTGTGCGTCGATTTCGTGACTGGGAGAGACATTGTTCCTCAGGTAATCCTTTCCCTTAAAAAAGGATTCGTTCGCAGCGGCGCGAGAATATCCGCGACGCCACAGTATACCACAGTTGGACGTATTGTACCGTTGTAACGCGAGATCGACTGGCTTGGTGCCGCTCAGTGCCTCGAATCGCTTTTTTTTTCCCTTTGCCGCATTTTATCACCGCGAGCCCTTTCTCTTTTTACACCTCTCGGTCACACCGACGCGCGCGTACGTCGCGCTCACTCACACGCACGCGGAAGCAACTCGCGCGGAGATAAAAATCAGTAATTAGCCCGGACCATTATGGCGGCTGTGTGAAAAATTAGCGAGTCGTGGGGTAACCGCCCCTCTGGGCATAATCCTGGGCATCGGTAACGCCGCCGCGTACCAGCGTGCATCCAACCTGTCTCTGATTTATACGGGTTTGCTATTAATTATACCCACCCAGCGTGCCCACCACTTTCCCCGTATCGTCCCTCGTCGTCCCTGTCTTTTTCTTCACGTCCATCTACTTTATCAATCGTTCTTCTTTTTTAATTCGCACACAAGAGAATTCGAGCTTTTATTAACGTTTTATTAATGTTTATGCTTATATTCATGTACATTTAAATTTAAAAAATCAATGCAGAGCAAATCTTTCCTGTACTTTCCCACTTCTATGAAGTTTCAACTTGAAATGTTTAAAAGCGTGTAATGTTAAGTATTAGAAATTGCAAAAAAAATTTTTTTTTAGCTTTTTAAATTTTTATAGAAAGATTTTATATATGTATATCGCTATTCAATCTGCAGAAAAAATTACATAAATTAGGTTTTATATAAAATGAATACGGGGAAGAAAAATGTGTACGTTTATTAAAACGTTCAATGAAACATTTTTTGCCAAACGTTATAAATCTCGTATTAAACTTCAAATGTCGATGTTGCAACAAGCGCGCTTTCTCCGGGTCAACTTTCGAACTGTCAAATGTTTTTATTTTGTTTTACACGCGCCAAAGAATTCGAGCCATCGCGTCGAGTCGAAAATTCCGTCCCGGGGTTTTGCGCCCGGTCGTTGTTTCGACTGCCGCTGGCCCCGGACTCGACGGGCTGCGGCGCAATTAAATTAAATGCTTCGGATTAATTGTTCGAAAGCAGTTAAATTAGTTGCGTTTGTTTCGCCCGATTTTTGCGCAATCTCGCTGCGGAATGCGTGAGATGCACGCATCGGGGGAATTTCGTTACCCGCGGCCCCTCAGCGCGTTATATAGCCCGGTGCCCTGCGAAATCACCGGGCGATGCAAACGTATCAACGCGGAACGATGGCGTGTGCCCCCGAAAAATTCATTTGCAAAAGCCGCATTCGACGCGCCTTCGTCACACACACGCACACACGCGAGCGCGAGGGGAAATACCGTGCGCGCGCGATCGACGCACAACGTGCGCATTTTGTCAGTACTTGATTAAAAGCTTAAACAGAGTCGACCCAATTATTAATGTAATGCACAGCGGGCAATGCAAATTTCACAATTATAACAACGAATTTGATGTATAACATTGAATTTTAAAGCGTCGTTGACCAGAATTTAGACCGCTAAATGCGAAATTTATAAAATCAACCTATATATAAATCTACATATAATTCCTCTCTATATAATTTATTTATTTATTTTAAATGCAATTTGACATATAGAATGTATTCTCGTTCTATCCCATATTAAATATCACTGAGAGGGAGAAGATGTGAACTCTGGCGAATGAAAAAGCGAATTAAAAAAACTATAGAGTATATAAAGACACCTCCCATATTATCCGTTTCCATCTCACGACGGCTCGCAATTTTCCTTCGATACAGCGACGAAGATCCCCCTATTACCACGCATACCTACAGCCACTGAAGACCACCCCAATGCCCCCGTCTCGATGATATTCGGGCCGGCCAATCCCCGTCGAGGATCGCGCCCCGATATATAGCTGCCGGAGAGAGCCTTGCATCCTAGAGTGCAGCTGCAGCGCCGGCGCGGACTCTTGAGCCGCATTGCTCGGATTCTGGCGAGGATGCATCTAGGAGCGAGAGGCTGACGAGCTCGCAAGTAACGCGCCGGTAGAGACATGGTCAGACTGGCATCCGGCCGCAAGCTCTCGACCTCATCGCAACCATATACGCTCCGGGGGGCCCTCCCCGAGCTGTAGGAGCCTCCTCTCACCCTCCCGGGGCTTTCGAGCCAGTCCGCCCACCCTGCTTGTAGACGATACCTATAACCTCGCCCTCCGTCGCGCGCTTCTCCGTCTCCTCCTCCCCCTCGTCGAGGGTTCCACGCGAAGCGGGAGCGTGCAACATGTCGAGACATTCGGGACACGGACGGACCGAGGAGAGATATGCATCATTTGGTTACCCGACTGGCCGACTAGCGCGTCTCCGATCGGCGTGCCTACGGATGCATCCTCGATCGGATTGGCCCCGGGCGAATCGGTATGCGAAAGGGTCCTCCAGTCAAGATTTTCAGCATAGCTGCGCCCGTGCATGCCGCCCGGATTCGGACTCCACCGAGTCTGCGTTCCGATACATATGTCCGGCGCGCGCCCGTATATGCACTCGGTGTGCTTCGTTACCGGAGAACCGCGCGTTACGTCGCCTGGTAACCGTAATAGCGGAAGAGTAATGGGGGCGCTAATACGAAATGCCGGTATCGGCGCACTCGTATCGGATGTCGCATTGCTGCGCTTTTGGGAACATTATCGTACCTGGAGTATTTTCGCCCGTGCTTGTCGCGCATATCCTTTAAAAATCTCCGAAATGACACGAGGCTGTGAAAATCAATTCACGCAGCATTAAGCGTATCTATCACATAATTTAATTTTTATCTATTATACTTTTATATCATTTCAATACAGTGTATCTATAATATCTATTGCTTGTATAGCAGGAAGCAGGATGTAGTCGCTGTTTTTGTCAACTATAATTTTTTAAAATCACGTTTCGACAAGGCATTCTCTTGTCCGGCGATGCTCAGTTTTACGTCTTGCCGATTTTCCGTAGGAACAACGATCTTTTCTTTTTTTTTTGTTGCTTCAACACTGATACGCGATACATCGGTCGTTCAGTCCAGTAGCGCCGCATTCCCGACACCGAAATTGCATACCTTCGTGTACGCGCACATACGGGCTGGAAACAAACGAATAGGGTTGTTCGGGCGCCGTAAAGGGTCCGGTGGGACGAGGCGCGCGCGAGGAGGCGGGCGGGGGTCGGGGGAGGTTCGCGCGCGGGGGTGCAGGGAGCAAAACGGTGGTGGATGGTGGTGCCGGTGACTCGGTCGCGCGAGAGAGCGAGGGGTTTGGGAAAACGTAATCGCTCTCTGGCCCCGCGCGCCTCGACGAACTGCCTGCCTCCCTCCCTCCCCTCTTTTCTCCCCTCATACATGCGTTCCGTCTCTCTTCTCTTTTACCCTTCCCACGCCTCTCGCTATTTATTGCTCGCACTCGGCCGGTTCACAACATAAATATGTTACACCTATGGCCAGCACCTATTGCACCGAGTCCGCGAATTCCTCTGCTGCCGGACCGAACGAAGAAAGAACATCGTCGAACGGGTGGATTGGTGCTTTTGGGAATAAATTGCCTCGTTTGCCACCATGCGAGATATCGTGTTCGTGGACTATGAAGCAAGGTAATGAGTTTCACAATTTCGTGATTAATTAGACGATTATGTGATAATTTCACGAGGAAACATACAAAACGTACAAAATTTACTTAGCTCGTAAGAATGTCACGAATAGGATGTTTCAAATCTATAAATTGATCTTTTATCCACAAATTTCTTTCTGGCCAATCAGCAATTATCTTTTCCTTAACAAACATTAGGACCATTTGTTGGAATTATAAGCAATTAATTATGATTCTCTTCGAGATTTTCGCTAAATAAGACGCGATATTAATTTGATATATTTTTTAGATTTTTGCTAACTTTAGAATAATTTTCTAAATATTTCTTCATAATTTTTTTGATAGTGCAAAATTAAATTTGAAAAAATATTATATGAAAATAAGAAATTGTCTTGTTACAATCTTCAAAAAACGTTGATTTTGAAAATAAACATAAAATAAAATAAAATCTTTTTCTTGAACAAAAAATTTTTTACTAATCAATTATAATGTCAAATATAATAAGCATATTAATTGTTGGATATTACAAACTATTATTATAAACTATAACTATCTGTCTAGTATAAAAAGAATTTACGATCACTTCAAGTAGCAGATATCATCTATTCCTTATTTCGTTTTTCTGAATATATTTTCGCCTTGTTTTACGCGGAAAATTCACCTCAACTTTTTTTAAATACTTTCGTTACACCCTCAAGAAGTGCTTCTCTCAGGGTGTACGAGCAGAGGGTGCCTGTTTGAAGGGCGGTAGCATCGAGGGTTAAGTTTCAAAGATAAAAGAAGGACCAACTGTTGAATATCGGCTCTCTTCCAGCCGACACCGACAGCCTATTATACGTCAAACTTTCTTAAATGTATCGTATTATATCTTACAATCTCATTAACGTAGTATATTATTACGTAAACGCTATATAAAAAATTAATTCTTATTAAAACTATAATATCTAATATTAATAATAATTTAGTAATAATAACTAATATTCGATTAACTTACGTACACATTTCACATAACGCTAATTACAATATGAGCAGACTAAATAGGTTCTTTAGAAAATTCTGTTTAATTTCATACACACACACAAATTTTCTTTATTTAGTTAAATAAACAATACGGTAAACTATAGCATAAGAAATATAAGAAAATTAATTTCTTTTAAAGTTTCCGCATAATTAATATAATATTACTATTAAAGTTTTAGACATAGCTAGAGAAATACTGAGATATAATATATTGTGTTATAAATCGTCAAAGAATTAATTAAACACTCTTTGAATGTAACTTTCAATCATTTTTATTATGCACGATATTTTTACTATTATATAAAAAATTATATAAAAAATATTAAATTTTTACGAATATTATTCGCATATGTACTCATTTAAATATTTTATCTCTAACGTGATTAATTATATGTTAATTGTTATTGACTGCTATCAAAAATTATATTCAACGCGCATCTTTAATTATGCATAATGAAATGCAGATTAAGAGATGCAAAAATGTTTTGACTCAATTTTTTTTATGTATGAAAACAATACGTTTTAATGTCATAATAGCAAACAGCAAGTAAAATTTTCTTACCTCGTCCGTAACTAGTTGAAATCTTCGTCTTTGCTAATTGCTCTTGACTTTCAGGGAAGACGAGAGATCTTGGCAGGTTTTTTGAAGCACAGTTAAATCATTCACGTCACAACAGTACAATATGACAATGATTCAATCAATTATTTATATAAAACGCATCAAAAAGTGTAAAGAGGAGAATAAGAGAGAAAGATAAGAGACATAGAGGGAGGATGAAAGGGCAAGGGAGTGACAGAGCGGTTGAGAGAATGTGTCTTACAGAAAGAAGCTACTCAAGGAGCTCCCGCAAAAAGGAACGGGGAATCCCTCACACGCGAAGAGGGACGCACTCTCCGCTATCTCCGAGAGCGGCAAAGAAACGCCGTCGCTCCGATCCCTCGCGAGCTCTCTCTCTCTCTCTCTCTCTCTCTCGCAAGCTCTCTTCTCTCGCAAGCGCCCGTTCTCGCGCGCGCACCGGGCTCTCTCTCGCAGCTCCGCGAATGCACGTGCAACTCGGACGCGTGCCACGTGGTGTTTGTCGGAGTGGCTCGGCCACGGAAAGCCGGAGCCGGAGCGGCGAGCTTGCAAGCTACCGGGCGCTTTCATTGGACGAGGGGTGGAAACTGCGCATGATTGCGGGTGTGGCCCGAGCTTGAGGGGCGGAATAAGCTCAGGTCGGTGATAGGACACCCCGAAAGAGGGCACGTCTCCATGGGTGGGCCCCGGGTGCCCCGGTCGCCACCTCGCCACCCCCTCGTGGCTCGGAGCTTTTTCCTTAATCTCGTAACGAGCGCGAGAACTGTTCTCCCGTCCGTGCCTCGAACTTGCGAACTGGCTTCTTCCGCGCGAACGGGCGTGCTCTTCCGAGGCGATGGAATGGCGGCACTCGGGTGTTCGTTACCGTGGAGGAAATCGTGTGGCGAACGCGGAGATTAAACCTCTCTCTCTCTCAAGTAGTAAGCGGCAGTGTCAAATCGGACACCGCGGCATAGCTGTATGAGATGCCTCGGCCAAGGCGTTTTTTCGAGTGAAAAGTTTTATACATTGTAGATCCGATATATAAGATATATATTGAAAATTATAATAAATTTCCTTTTATTATCTTAAAAACGCTAAATTTTACTTGTATCGTTTTTCTATCAATGCTGCGATATATGTGATTAAATAGAAATTTTAGGTGAAAATTTTGGGTGAACATCTTTTTGACCTATTTCATAATAAATCATGAATGTCCTGATTGCTCATAATCTCTATTACGTAATAGTATTTTTTCATGTTTATATTTGACGCATTTATTTCATTAAGAAAATTAACCAATATATTTTTTGTAATTTTTTAATCATTAATTTTGAGATAATTAGTTTAGCTATTTTAATTTTTTGATTAAAGTAAAGAAAGCAAAGAAAATTTCTAATAGAAATTGTGAAATAAATGTAGCTTATTATGAAATAAGTGAAAAAGGTGTTTATCCGAAATTTTTATCTAAAACTTCTATTTACATATTGCCGCGTTGACAGAAAAATGATAGAAGTAAAAAATGAGCATTCTTGAAATATTAAAAGAAAATTGACCCTGAAGTTTTTAGAGTTAATTCCTCCGCATTATCTTAAAATTGCTAATTTTTTACTTGTGTCATTTTTCTATTAACGCGGCTATATATGTATACATATATTTATCCACAAAACAGAAAATATTGTTTTATGTACTGTTGAAAAATGAATATATTAACCTAAGAAAAAAAAATGCAAATATTGATTAAAATGGATTGATTGTGATACAAAATAGTTTTCTTTTTTAGCAACAGGTGGAAGGCTCTCGAAGCGTGTTCTACCAAAAAAACAGATATTACATATATGTATACATATATATATATATATATAAAGAGAGAGAGAAAGTTTGCGAGATGATCTCGAAAGAACGAGAGAGAACAGAAAAAGTGGTGAACAGCCGATTTATTGAAGCAAAATTTTCGCCGGTGTGTTCGAACGGATTCTTATACGATGTTTGTTCGGTCGTTAACAAATGCGGATGAATATCTGACGAAGCAGTGAATCCGCGGTAAAGCGAAAGTCTCATCACAGCTGGCCTGATAAATAAATCGTAGTGGCTAAACGGGCCTGGCGAAATCAGTCGGGAATTTGGCTTGGGAGACAAGGGTGATCTCCATCGCGTATTTACCCGGTATGTCTACCGATCGGCGTACTCGCCAATTTTACCCATTCACTCTCGGCGAGGTGGTATTTGCGTTGAAACTGCCCGACGCGATGTATTATCGATTATGGCTCGGATTTTCGAGGTCGACGTTCCGCCGATTCAAAGATGTTCTCATTACGGATTTCAATTGTTCGATTACTCGTGTTAGAAACCCATTGGTATCGACTATAGAAATTTATTGATCCGCTAATTAATTCTTGATAATGGCACAGCTTACAACGCAATAATTATACGACAAACTACGACGATAAAATAATTTATCATATACATTTACGCTCGAATATATTTAAATATATCTTCAAATATTGTATTATAAAAAAATATGCTAGAGATTATATATCATGCGATTGCGAACGTGTGAAATGTGGACACATTCTTCTAGTAAATAAAATCTAAAAATATTTTTACTATATAATTAGATATTATTAATTAGCAAAGTAATATAACTTTGAACTTCAGTATTATTACATTGCTAATTATATAACTAATGATGAAAAATTTTACATCTTTTTTATCACAATTATTGATTTGTTCTCGAAACTGAATACGAATATGACGTTCAAGCGCGCATCAAGATAGACAGCGAATAAAATACGAAAAATATATTAAATTATTAAGTAAATAATTACCATAGTCTTTCGCCTCTAAATTTAGAATGTCACATTCGTCAGCGATCGAGCGGCGTCTTGTGCAAAATTGAGGTGCCAGGAAGCTCATTTCGGTATGCCATCCACTAGTAGACGCCTGTGAATGTTTAACGGTCCGTCGTCTCGGCGGCCGCCCAATTATATGACGTCAATTATTGATTAATTGCAATTATAACGCGAATGGTTTCGAGAGGGCCCCGATACGGATATAACGATCGCCATTTCATAAATTCGCAATGACGTGAGAGAGAGAGCGGGCGCGGGCGCCGCTCCGCGCCCGGTCTCTGAGTGACGTGTCATTTATCGCATAACGCGAACGTTTATGCGCATTCGTGTCGCATAATTGCAATTAGAGCGGAATTCATTTACATCGACCGACATTCGATTTGTTCCGAGAGAAAGCCCGGGATTTACACACGCGCCCTCGACGCGGCGCGGCGCGATGCGATGAACGCGCGCGCGGACGTTCGTGTTAGTCGTGTCGGGATTTATTTCCGCGCGCGTCAATGCCGCCGCGACAGTTCCGCGATGTAAATAGGATTGGATTAGCCGTTACCGACCGCTCTCGCGAACGAGCGGGAGGGAAAGAGAGAAAAGATAGGAGGGAAGTTATCCCTCTCGTTACGCGATAACGATGGAAGATAAACTACCGAAAACCCTCGACGAGAAATACGTTCGACAAGAGATGTCCGGTACGATATCACGCGATGTCTCGTAAGAACGCAGGATAAAGCATTTGAAAGAATTATAATTTCAAATCTGAATTTCTGCGTGTAACTTTTTTTAGGTTTATTTACTCTCAAGAGTCTTAAGTTTGTTTTTTTTTTTTTTCAGAAAATAAATGTCGAAAAAATTTCAATTATTATTTTTACAAGTTTAAATTTACGTAGTCATATATATATATTATTACATACATTATTACATATTATACAATATTGTTATGCAAGTCGATACATACATATATTAAATATATAACTATTCGAAATACAGAATATTTTAAAATCTAATATCCTAGATTTTTTTATTCCATTTCAGGACGATTTTGCTTTTATCGAAAATATTGAAGCCGATCATTTATCATCTCATTTTTCAATTGTCCTTACTAAATATTTTTATAATCCGTTTAATTGATATACTATGTTAAAGGAAAAGTAATTTTAATTACTTAAAAATTGAAAGATCTGATTTTGTCAATTATGCTTTCTCTTGACGTCTCTTAAGTTTGAGAGAAGTCCCACATTTTCGATGGACATATTCAACAGCTGTTAATATATCGATATTTCCGTTGACGGAAGATGAATTTCGAAGTGCGACTGTGAGAAATCTGTAACAAAAAAAGACATTCAACGCGTACTCCATATTTCCAAGGAGGATGATTGATGACGAGTACAAAACGTGAATTCGAGTTTACGAGCGCGAAATAAAGTACTGCGTGCCGCGTTTCCAAATTGTTTCAGTCTCCGATTGCGAGACTATAACGGCCGACAGTCGGCGCGGCGTTGCGATGCGAAATTTCATACCGATTTTTCGAAAGCCGCACCATTTCTACCGACGGGCGAGTCGGGATTAAACGATAATACCGGCGATCCAATTTAATCGCACGATTGACGGGTAAACAGACACCGCGCGGCGCGAAGCGGTGCTCGTCCTCTCCGCCCCTTCACCCCTCTTCGCCAATCCTTTTAGGACAAATCGTCCGTGGCGCTATGTGCCCTCGGAAGCCGGTAGAAAATATAATTCAGAGATATTTATAGCTGGATTACCGCTGGAATTGGGTATCTAATATACATGACCGAACTACCGAGTCGCACCGAGTTTTAATTGTCCCACCGAAAAGCCGGTCTTTCGAGGATAATCGATACGCGGGAATAATCATCGCGAATCGGTGCGCGGATTTTCTATGAACGGGTGAGCTATAAATGACGATGACGCGGTTGACGCTCCCGCGGATGAGTGTCAGATGTGATTTCACGTCGCGACCTCATGATTGCCACAGAGTGCACACACTCGGACAAAAGTTTCTCTGTGGCTTTTGGGGAAGGATTAGCCGCAATTGATAGCCACCGAGAATGGAGGGACGGTAGCCCGAATTTGTTCGCCGCTTCAAAGTGCGACCGTCGGTGAATCCGGAGTTGCATTCTTGCGCGGGCTTGAATCAATATTTTCGAGCACATTTATCAGCTTTCGCGGGCGATAATTACTTGACTGTTTGTCTCAATCGCGAGCCCAGTAAAGGATTATAAATAATTTCTCCGTGAAAATTTAGTGCGATGCTGCAACGATTAAGATCGCATTCTGGTGTTTTATATAAATGCGCAATCCAAATTGCGCTCTCGCTTGACGATTTATCGAACGGAGGAGAGGACTTTTATATTCTCTCTTTCTCGAATTTCAAGCTTTTCTATATTCTCGATTACTCTACGGGATTCTCCTATTCAAAACTCCACTCGGGGTCCAGCCCGAAGCGGCCGTCATGTCGTGACCGGTCCGCGGACCAGCGGGAAAGCCGAAACGTGCCGAATGCGAAATTAATTGGAGCCAGCCGGCGCGGCGCGGCGTGCGGCCTCACCGCGGCGGCGGCGACGGCGCAGGGTAATTTTGATCCGGATCCGGGGAGTTTAGTGCCGGGACGGTGTCCAGTGTCCGCCGCGCCGGACGGACAACGCGACTCGGCGCGGTTAGTGCCGGTCCAGATGTCGCCACGGGCGTGACGTCACCGGTTAACTACCCTCTCGTAGTGGGCACCACCACCACCACCACCACCACCATCACCACCACTACCATCACCATCACCACGCCGGAGCGCCTTCACCCGTTCTCGTCCGACGGACACGATATGCGGGGATGATTCTGATTAATTACCGATAGTTACACAAGCTGACGCCGCTCTCCCGTTGACAACCCTCCATGGTATCGTCGGATACCCCCTTCTCACTCAGACTGTTATCCGAGAATCGCTTTTTTTTAATTTTAAATCGACCCTGATATCTCTCGTAAGTTCTCTCCTCTGCATTTTGTATTTTTGATATTCTTCACGAAATTAACTTCAGGCAGATGATTCGCAAATTAAACTTGAGAATCTTTTAATCCTCGATAAAAAAACAATATATAACTATTGTTGCTATGTATTATTATTTTGTATTAAGCTTCTTCGAACAAAATGCGTGACAGATAACGCATCTAGCCAGATCCCGCGCTATAATATATCACCTCATGATATTCTGGATTCTCTCCGCTGTGCACGCAATAACGCGGCGATTTATTAGAAGCGTCATATATCGGATGGATCAAACAATCCGTTTACGTCTGATGTAGATTTTTCGGTGCGTGTCGCGCGCGTGTATCCCTGCAACGTTCATTTATCGATTCGCCGAGGCTTAATTCATTTCGAGGGTCGCGGACGAGGGGGTGGAAGGATTGTTATTCGAGAAGGGATGAAACGATGCGAGCAACAGTGGCCCCTCTCTCCCTGGCCCCGGTCCCCGCCGTTTCCCGCTTCTCCTCCCCCTCCCCACCCATTATGCCGGCGCCTCTCTTGCAACCAGCCCCGGCGTGAGGCGCATCGGGCCGCGGCCGAACGATCGGACCGCCAATATTTGGCAATTACGAAATATGAGTTTACATTTAATAATTGCGGTAAACACCGGCGGACGCGTCGAGTGGCCACAGGGGGTGAGTCCGACGAGATACGGCCGCGGCCGCGCGAGCCCCGCGTTCGGGGTAAATTCCGATTTACTTCCTCCCTCCCCTCCCCTCCTTCCACGCCCGCCCTCGCGGTCAGAACGATATACATTATTATTATAGACGATTGCTGTTGCACCTTACCCGGACACCCCGGCTGACGCGGACCCTCCCGCCTTCCTTTCCACCCCTGTGCATTTTTGTCACACTCCGTGAGACAAATCCGATTTGCCCGCTTTACAATATTTTATCTTACGGGGAAGGCGAGAAGTCCGTATTAATCATCAGCAAGATTTAACGATATTAATTATTACAACAGTATTATTTATTTATATAAATACAATACCCCTATAGCTTATATACAGATCAAATATATTAAATAAATACATGCTATGCATTACATGATTAATCAGCAAAAAATTTCTTATTTCTATATATATTGTAAAACATGATATTTACATCAATTCGCAATTAATGTAAATGCATTTAATTTACATCTCTTATATACAATGAAATTTCTAAATTTCGAAATTTGTCTCGAAATTTCTCTCGTCTACAAATCTTAGAGTTTTTAACGAAAATTCTGACAACGTATCAAACTACAAAAAAAGACTTTATATTCAACTACATACAATTTCTATGTTGAACTACTGACAAAATCAAATCCGCGCCTGCGGTCGCATTGTCGCGATCGCGAATAAAGACGGGGAGAGCAGCCCGTCTACGAAATAATTCGATTAATGCGAACTATCGCGAACTCGCGGGGAACCGCCGCGCTAAACAAAGACGGCAGGTAGCAGTTGGGGTTGGCGTCGCGAGCCGAGGTGAAGCGCGGGGGAAGCGCCGCGCGCGACAAGCCATTAATGACGATATGATCGATATTAGCAAATATTTCCCACGGGGCGTCACGCCGCGCGACAGGCCCGCCTCGGTATTTCGCCGATCGTATTTGCGATCGGCACGCCGGTTATCGGCGGCGACATTTATTCAAATGTAATATCTCGCCTTCGAACGAAGATTACCTGCCCGGGAAATGTGTCCCGCAGGTATTACACGCATCCCTCTTTCTACGAATCATCCTTCTCGCCCTGATCTCGTTGTCACTCCAACGAGGAAGCCCTTCGTCTACGGCTACTGTATATGTAAAGGAGGATATTAATCAAAAGTTCTCTGCATTCGATCCTCTAAAGATTAAAAGTAAGGTTCATGTGGAAGGTAATCGAATTGGAGAATGTATAGATGCAAAATAAAGGAGATACTAAAATTTTGTTTAAAAAAAACCAATATACAGCAACAAGTATAAAGCACTCTCTTTTTTATTTACTGCATTTTCTTGGAAAAGGCGATAATAAAAGACAAAGGACTAACACAACAGTTATTAAAATTGTAAAAATAAATTTTTCAATAAAACATTTTTAAGTTTGTATTTCAAAGCAATGGAGATATTTCAATTATTGCAAAAAGCTTTTTGTGTACATAAATCGTTATTTCCATTTATAAAGTATTGTATATTGGAGATGGCTTGAAGAAACAAGCTCTTTAATTGCTTCTTCCGAGTATCCATTTCTCTTTCTGTTCAATCCTACGCACGCACGCATGCACGCACGCACGGTGCGCTCGGCCGTGCTCGCTCATTCGTCTCGCCAATCCCCTTCTAGTTAGTGTCCAACGGTAGTTGAAAAAGTTCTCACTCCCCCCCCCCTCTCTCTCTGTCGCTCTCTCAGCGCAAGCTGTTCCACGCGCGAGGTACTCGCGCCTTTTTCCAATTTCTTAAAGAGCCGCGACAATTTATGTGAAGCCTGTTCATAAAGTACGGCAACCCTCCCGCCGCGCAACTCCCCCTTCTACCCCTCGTCGCCCTTGCGGGCCGTAAGGAATCCGGAGGGAGGCACCCCCTCGGTTTCTCGGTGGAGTTCTTAAAAGTTACTTCGACTCCTGTTTCTCGATACTTATTAGCTTCCTTCGACGAAAGACGCAATCGCGCGAAACGCGCGAGTGCACGTGTACGCGCGCGCGTGCGAGCGGAACTTTACTAATATGTTAGTGCCCCTGATGTGAGTCACATGTGTTTCTAACATTTTCCATTCAGGGAGATGCGAATGGTAGAAAAAAAATGAGGGTATTAAATATTGCTTCATTCACGTTTGAATTCTGAAACGCGAAAGGGGATATGTGTCGGAGACACACGTGCCATGCGGAGCATCGTTTCTCACGGATTGCAATCGATAACGCCGGTAATTATATTTTATTTTACTGATTTTCAAGTATCAGTACAAACGCGACGGACGTGTACCCAATCTTGGGAATGATATCGTGATCGTATGTGGATACTTTAGGAAATTGATTAGAGGGGTTGCGAGAGGGTGGTAAGAGGGAGGCTAGCTAGTTTATTACGCCTCCGCGACATGGCAGCACCCGTGCCACGACGGAGAGAAGTCCGCGTCTCCGAGGGTTTCTTAAGACTCACTCCCCTTACCCAGACCGTGGCGTGCATGACGCTTAATGATATGCAAAAGATTTATGAAACTTAGTGCTTTAATTATTATTGTAATTCATCACGCGTTTCTCGTTTTACTTAATATCTACATTTTGGAAAATGATTTCATTACAGATTGGCGTTGCATTGCTCCTGTTACACCAAGAGAAGGCGGAAAAGCAACAACGTATGTATATCTTGATTCAATTCTCATAATTCAAGAGACTCGTCACGCGAATGTAGTCGTGCACTTTTGTGCTGCACAACCCGTGCACCTACTCTAATAATACCGAAATCTTCAAAACCAGTTCCCCGTGATTCACACCGATTACAGAATGACGCGTCGAATCTTCAACCACTTAATCGCAAAGCGGAATAATTTCTTTCGCATCTCCCATCCTACCCCAGAACGTGCCGCGAACGTTGAACGTTGAGCGTCGTCGAGCGATCGAAATCGCGCCGTCACAACGTCGCGCGCGCGCGCGCGCGTGTATTGGTACGTGCACGCGCGCGCGCGTCGCGGTTTCTCCACGCTACCCGTTAGACACCCCCCGCGTGGAAGAATGGGGGTGGGAGGGAGGGAGGGCTACGTAAAGAGCCGGCAAGGAGGGTCTCTACTTTCTTTCATTTCGATTAAAATTCAACGCCCGTCGGACAGCCCGTGTAATTGGCCGAGATCTCTTTAAGCGGGAAAATTACCCAGAAGGGGTTGTAGAGCATCGAAAGGTTTAACAGGCAGGCTATACGGCGAGAGGACGAGGCGGGAGCGGCGGCGGCAGCAGCGGGGGGGGGGAACTCGAAAGGGGTGAGAGCTCCGGTCCAGCTTTCCGCCCACCGTCGCGCCCTCGAGAGCAAAAATCCTGCCAATAAATAAATTTAAATACATGAATATCTAACCCCCTGCCGCCGACGTTAACCGCCCCGTGATAGCGGCTTTGCGGTCTCTAACGGATATCACCGCGTAAATAAAGCGGGTGGGATATCTTCGAACTCATCGCCGGCCCTTTCTCCAATTGTTCGCAATGAGGCATGGATAACAAAATCACATTCCTCAACTCCTGCCTGGAAGATATAATTTTATCCTTAAAGACTTTTCTCTGAGCCTCGGTTGCAAAAATATATTACGCTGGAAACCGAAAATTTGGAATAAAGATTCTCTAAGATGAATCTTTAAAAGATTCTAATGTTCTAAGATTGTTAAATTTAAGATATCTCGTATGTCTCTATTTTTGTATCAATTTACTAAAAATTCCAAGGTAAAAAATTCGCTACCATTAACGCAAAACATATTTCCGCGTACCGACGCGCAACATCGTACGTATTCGCCGTCCGTGCGGATATTTCCGCGGCTAATTACCCCCGCGCGCTTTTGGTACTCGCGCGGATGAAAGCGGTAAAAAGGATAATAACTAAATCTTCGATCCCCGCCGCGCGGCGCACAACGACGCGGCGCCATCCCCTCGCCGCCCTCGCGTCGCCGCGCGCGTATATACCCACTCCCGCCCGCGCGTCTCCCGTTGACGTCACACAAGTTTCTCGGGGTGTTTCTATACCAACCTCCCCCCGCGCCCGATGACATAAAACCGTGTAATTAGCTATGTATGCCTCTTGTTCGTATTGGCCCGCCGGTGGCGCGGTGGTGCACTTTAGAGCAGGCACACGAGGGGGAGAAAGAGACACTGTTTGTCGGCAGAAACGAGAAGGACGGGGTGGGCGAGGAGAACGAGGACGAGGGAGGCTGGCTCGGGGATTCGGGGATGAGAATCAGGGTGAGCGGAAAGGCGGTGCGAGAGGGGTGGAGCGCGAAGCGGAAAGGGGGGCGGTATGAAGTACCCGCTAATTAATACCCCTAATTGCACCGACCCCAGCCTACAGCCTCACCGCCAGGGCTGCATGTACACTCGGGGTATACTCGTTTTCGAGCGTTGAACGCCGCGGCTCATCCTACGGCGGAAAGAACTATGCGACACTCGTTTGTCTAGCTCTCGCGAGCGCGGATAATCTAAACGCGGGAGGGGTTGAAAAAGCGCCGCGAAAGCGGAACATTTTTTTTTAATTGTTTGACACGCGCTACACACACGGATTCGCGCGTGACGGGGCAGCCGCAATAGGGCGCCATTTGCCTGTCGCGTCGTATATTTTTATGGCTGCTGGCGTGTCTTGCGAACGATGACACCTCGCTACCTGAAAGTACCAAGATTCTCTATTTTTATTTCCATTGCTTTACTTTCCGAAAATTACACTTAAAAGTTTCATGCGTAGAATCCGTTAGAGAATGAAGAATAGATTTAGAAATTCTCATCTTTTGTTTCAGAATTTTGAAGGTATTAAAAAATATTAACATCCCCCTTTTGCTTTATCTAACAAAGAACGAAATACGAGTCAGCAATGGAAATAAAACACTATACGAGTAACTTCCTTGCATTTATATTAGGACCACATTTAATATTTCATTGGTAATACACAGGAAGTAACGTTACACAGTGGCTCGAGTAAAAATGGACAAGAGATTAATACATTTAAAAAAAAACTACAATTTTTGACAATTTCGCAGGACAAGCTGATTGCCAGTCGGTAATTTTAAAAGCGCACACCAAGATTCGATAAAACTCTCGAATTATTTTAAATTATTTATAAAACACAATATGTATACGCTACAAATTGTATACAAACACAGAAGGGAGGCAACAAGTTTAAGGAAAAAAACGACACAAATAAAAAAGAAAACGATTACTAGCGAGGCCAGCAATGTCTCATGGTCACAAGTGCGCTCGCAAAAATCGGCCCTTTCGAGAGCCCGGCGCGGCGCGGCGTTTAGGCGGAGCCGTAAATCGCGCTGCCATATTTTCGCCGTTTCTGTTCGCACATAACCGAAGGCGAAACCCAAAGTTTAGGCGCGCTGTACAAAGGGACGGCGGGAGGGCGAAAGGAAGCGGAAGCGGGTGGCATGGGATAAGGATAAGAAGAAGGGACGCTCGCCGCCGGTTAGGTCTTTTCCCATATATCGACGGCGGCGTTAAGTTATAGCGCTATCCTGGCAACATGTCGCCGGGCTTGTTCGACAAACTTTTCAATGTCGACATATATTTCCCGCTCGCGCCCTTTTATGAGCTGTTGAGCCAGTCTTTCGAGCGGCTCAGCCGACAGTAAACCGATTCGACGATATCGACCTCCGTTTCTGGCGCTCCCTTTTTTTTTACGTTCCCATACAAACATTTAAACTAAAATTATAACAAATCTCTCTCTCTCTCTTTTTCTCTTCCTGTCAAAATGCACGCCGGTATCTACAAGCGACAACAATTAAATGTAAATCAGACAAGTCGCTAATGAAAAACCAGTTTATTCCACGTTCAAAATCGTTCTTTCTTAGATTATCGCACTTAAATTCGTCGTACTCCCCTTTGTCCGGTTCACTCCGTTTATTCGATGTCGCAAGAGCTCTGGCGATAGCGCTGGCGAAAACGCGATGCGCACGCGACCCTCGAGCGGGCGAATTCGGGTGCGTGCGGGATTTTAGATTATGGAGTAAACGCGTTATGGAACGAACTGGTTAACGAGTGCGGTTAACCAGCTCCGCCGGAACAGCTCGTGGGTGTCGTCCTCGGATATATACGGCCGGGCATATTCACGCGGCGGCGCGGCGGCCCTGTCTGAACATATGTTGCCAGTTTCTATCAGTTTCGGGGTCGTTTTCATCCACCCTTTCATACGAGGGAGGAGCGGCGTAGGGCGGCTCTGCGCCTCTCGCCGCCGTCACACGTCACTCGCGTCGATCGTCGTCGTCGTCGTCGTCGTCGTCGCGCGTCGTTCGATCGTTCAACGGCGACAGAAGTCGAGAGGCGTCTAACTGCGAAAGTTCGCGCCTCGTTAACGTTATAGTGATTACGCACGTGCATCCAACGATTTCGGTGCTCGCTGCCGTCGCGCGCTGCCGCCGCGCCAGGGCGCGTTTCGCACACGAAGCTCGCACACGAACTCTGAACTCCGCGATCTACGTCGGCGATAACGACGTTACTTTCGTTTACGTCACGCGACGGTCGAATAATAAAACGTTAACGAGATATTATCGCGCGAGTTAGTTATTAGAAATAAGTCTCCGCGATCGCGAGACCTCCCCTTCCCCGCTTATATCGCCAGCTCCACGACAAAAGCCGAATCCTGAGGTCGCGCGTCAAATTGCTCGCATTCTTATACCTTCCTCTTTCCCTCCCTCCTCGTCTCTCTTATTAGGAGTGTCTTTTTCCATTTTTATTCACATCGGTGGTATCGTGAACGTCGTAATTCCGCTACAAAAGCTCTCTCTCTCTCTCGCGTGCGCGCGCGCGTATTGGAATACTTCACCGCGCGTATCACAAGCGCGCAATTATATAGTATCGCGAGCGCGCGATGTCAGGCCGCGCGTATGTGCTAATCACTCCCGGTTGCCGCGTCGGTCACCGCTAATTAATTGCACGCGGCCCGTCGCGAATCAATTCCATTGTCGCTCGATAAAGAAGCATTTCACCGTGCGAATATGTAATTACCGATCGATCTGCCGTGCGCGCGCTCGCATGCTCCTCGCTCCGGCTTCGAGATTACCTTCGAGCTCGATTTTACGCGGAAAGTGGATTCGATTCGGGCGAGTTTCCGGCGTGGAAGCGAGCCAATGTAACTCTCCGCGCCGCGCTCTGCGTATATTATTAACATGTAATTGAATGGCGCAAGCTTGAGACGCGCGTGTAGGTGCGTGCGCGCGCGCGTACAGATAGCGCGCGCACAGACACACGTCTCGCACACACACGTACACGTACACGCATACACAATTTCGCGTATACACGCACGTGCGCGCGATCCATTGTGCGAAGTCGCGTGAGCGCCGCAAGTTAATTAAGAGCCTCTAATGAACCAGCCGTGCCGCAAACGGCGGCGCTCGCACAACGCGCTCGGCGTCTCGATCGATTAATTAAAAATCTTGCACGACATCGCCGTCGCGAGACGCCGCACCGCGCCGCGCCGCGGCCGAGGGGGAGAGATCCTCCCTCCCCTCTGCCACCCTCTTCGCGCCCCGTCGTCGGCGCCCACGCCACGGGAGCGTCGTCGAAAATGTGCGACGGCGGCGTCGCTCCCGATATTTGCACGGCCTTCGGTATCTTCGAGACCTCATCAGTAAACAGAAACGCTCATATCCTTGGGAAAACAATAATTACA